AAATCCAGAAAAGCCTCCTGAAATGAAGGAAGACCAGGGTGGAGTCCAAGGAACATGTTGAAGGCCCAAGCAAGGTGTTGGCTACAGGAATGGAGAAAAGGAGATGGGTGGGAAGGATATTTAGAAGACGTAATTTATAGTATTTGATGAGTGACTTGATAAACTAACAGGATGGAGGAGTCTAAGCTGACTCAAGATATCTGGCTTGGGCAACTAAGTGGTGATATCTATTACAAGGAAACCCAGGAGAATGCACAGGTTTGAAAGGAAGAGGAAGGGGAGGGGAGAGTTAAGTTCCTTTCGGCTGGAGCTCAGCTGAAAGCATTACAGAAAAAAAAAAAATCAATATAAGGAAGGGTTTTCAAGAAACGAAAGTGTTCAAACGATAGAATGAGTTGCAGTGGGAAAATAACCCTCTGCTTATCCCTATGGGTAAAGAGGAATCTGGTGACTTTCTGTGATCATTCCCACTCCAAAGCAGCTGTCTCCCAGGACAAGGGCAAAGATGCTTTCTCCACACAAAACTGGCCTGTTCAGAACTCACTGTCCATCCGAAATTTGTAGAGACTTGTTCTAGCCATTGCCTTAGGGCAGGTGAAATCTGAGAAGGAAGCAGAAGAGGAATTACCCAAAGGTGCAGGAACAGAGGCCTTCATCTGTGGCTGGATATAGAAGAGTCTCATGAGCTTTTTTTGCAGTGAGTACACCAAAGTCTATGTTCTAGTTATCTGGTTTTATGACTACACATACAACGTTCTCCATGGATGGTTTCTAAATTTATGCTTGTTCCTCAGTGAACTTCTTTTGGGAAATTTCAACCCACCTCCCATGAACTAAGTCATAATCATATAGAATCATGGCCACTTCTTGATGTCTGACTCCAAAATCTAAGCTCTTAACCTCTAGGCTGGGTCCTCCATAGGTTTTAGAATGACTGAATAAATGAATGAAGGAATTAAGGAGCTCATAGAGAAGATTAGGTAGTATTACCTACATTTAGGAGAAATTAAGTAATTTCTGTGTGTGAAACAGCCTACACCTCTGCTACCCTATACCATGCCTTAGTGTGAATTAGGAAAGGCACACTCTTTGGGTGATTGCAGCCCTGTAAGCAGAAGGTTCAGCAAATGGAGTGTCCACTGGAAGTCAGGCCACACTTGCCATCTTGGCCAAGTGCCTTTGTACAGGGCACAGCCTGTACACAGCATTTAAGTTTTAAAAACAGAATTTTGTCTCACACCCTCTGACTTTATATACTTTTCTCTTCCACTAGGGATCATGCTGCTTTTACAGGAAAGCACATGACTCCATCTCCCACCAAATAACAGCAAAAATATTAGCAGTTTATCCAAGGTATTTGTGAAAGCAAAGTAGTAATCACATCTCCATGCTGTTACTATTTTGGAAATAATCAGTTATGAGATGAGCTATGGTATAAATTTATGAATAATTTAAATAGCAAAGATGATGATTGAGAAGGAAGTCAAAAGACTAACAGATGAAAATGTGAGATGTTGAAGTCACAAAAATGTTAGAAAATAGAGACGCCATGGATAGAAAGAGACAGCAGTGCTTAACACCTGTATACTTTGAGTGCCACACTTTGTGCTTAACACCTGTCTACTTTGAGTGCCATACTTTGATTATCCTAATACCTTGTTATAGAAATGCTATATCCATTCATTCATTCACCCTTTCCCTTATTTGTCAGGTGTCTATTGATCACATGATATGCTTCAGGCACAGTGATCAACTTTAGGTATACATTGCCCAATAATAGTACATGGTCCCCGTCTTTAAAAAACTCACAAACCACTAAAAAAAGGGGTGAATACAAAGATTCATTATAGTATAAAAGTACAGTATAGTAGAGTAGAGTATGGTACAGTGTACTGTAGTATAGTATAGTATAGTACAGTACAGTATAGCACAGTATACTGTAGTACAGTACAATGTAGGATAGGATAGGATAGGATAGGATAGGATAGGATAGGATAGGATAGGATAGGATAGGATAGGATAGGATAGGATAGGATAAATTTGAAAAGTTCTAGGAACAAAGTGTCCTGTGAACCCAGGAGCAATCGTGAATCATTTTCCTGAGTGATTGGGGGAAGCAATGTTTAATCTGGGCCTTGAAGAGTGAGAGGAGCTTTTAGAGAAAACGAAGGAGGTAGTCAAGACCAAGAGAGCAGTGTAAAGCCTCAGAACTACAGAAAGCCGTGGAATGTATACTGAATGGGGAGGCTCCAGTAGAGAAGATGATGCATGAAGGGTATAGAGAAGGTGAGTCTAGGGAGGCAGGTTGGAGCCAGACGCAAAGTGTTTTACATGACTCAAACCTATGGTGGGGACATGCCATTACCATCTCCCAAGCAGATACATACTGATTTTAGCATCATCCACAATCTGGCATCACTCCTTTCTTGGGAGGACTTTAAGAAAACAAACTGTATGTGTTAAGGCTGGAATGGACCTTTAGGGCTTTAAGGCTTTAGAATTGCATAACCCCAAATTCCAATCCTGGCTCTGCTACTGAGTGTGGCATTTGGGGCAAGATACGTCTCCCCTCTGAAACTTAGTGTCTTGATCTGTACAATGAAAGTGATAGAACCTCACAGAAACAAAATGGTGCCTATGAGTTGGGCCGTAGAATACCTTGTACACAGGACACACTTCATAAACACTGACACTACCCCTTCTCCTCTTAATTTTATCCCCTCTCCTTCTTTCAGCTGGAACACATTTGGCCCAAGAATGTTGGTAACAGGACTTGCATTATTGCAGACTTTTCACGAAGGGAATTTCACAACTTAGTATCTAGATTCTGTTTGAAAATTCTTTCAAATCGAATAGTCTAAGGCTACCTAAACTCCTTTGTTGTACTGCCCCACTGATGCAGGAGAGTTCCACAGAGCAGGCCAGTATCTATTATTCTGAAAATCTCTGCGGCGTTCCCGTATGTTTTGTCACAGTTTGTCCCATATGGTTTGTCCCCTACAAACCTTTGAAGAAACAATGAACCCAGAAGAATATTATTGTCAGCACACTGTTCCAGGACTCTAGATAGCTGCTCAGAGTACAATGAAATTGCGATAGATGACATTCTACACTTTGATCTTGATCCATCAGGATGTCTTCCATTCTAACCTGCTCTGAAACAGTAAGCAGCACTTCATTTTTCAGTATGGGTCACAGTGAGATATTTTAATCACCCTCTTAATCACTGAATCACTCTTCCTGGTTAGGGAACCTAAGCTTTCGTATCATAAATGTGAAAAATTTAAACCCCTTTGAAATTATTTAGTCCAGCATTTCCCAAGGCACTCAGGAGGAGTGTACAGGAGCAAAACGGACACTGGTGGCATTATCTGTACAAAAGAAGCAATGGAACCTCACTGCCTGGACTGATTCTAACAGATAAAAGCCCATTTCACATCATTGCATCTGGAGACCCATAGGTGAAATAAGTCTAAAGAGTTGATATTGTATACTTCTAATTAACCTTGTTAATTATAAAAATAACTTCTTACTTCCATAAGTAATTATAGTACAGCATTATTATAATACTACAATAATAAGTAGGCTCCTATGTAATTCTTGGATATATCTAAAGTTGATTTAGTATTTGAAAATGTAGCACTCATTATATTCTCTAATATAATTCAAAGCTCACTCCACATTAGGCATTGAGGTAAAGGGAGGAAACCTCTGAATATTGAAGAGAAGGTAGGTAGTGGGTTCTTATCAGTGGAGGTATACACATAAGAAATATATCTGATGTGTATTTAACACACAGTAAATGCCATTGGCATTATTATTAATTTACTTAATCCTCATAATAACTTTATGAATTGGCCGGCTATTATTATCGCCCCTATTTAGGGAAGAGAATATAGAAGCATCACAGGCAATTCAAGAGACTTGCCTACAATTACTTAACTAGTAAGTAGCAATGCCAGAATTTGCATGTAGGAAAGCTGGCTCCAGGGTCCACTTTCGTAATCAGTATAATGCAACACCACCACTGCAGAGTAATTTGTATGGCTTCATGTATACAATTTACAACTTTGGTTATATTTCTTCATTTTTAATTGCTGCCATCTCCAAACCATAATAGCAACAAGTCTAGCATCTCCCTCTTGGAAAATCTTTCTTCTTTCCGAAAACAATTTAAATCCCTGGAAGAGAAGACTCTCTTTCTTCCAAACATAAGTAGGATATAGGCATCATCACTGCTTCTCATAGCCATATGGAATTGCTACTTAACATGCACCTGAGATAGAAAAATATAGTTTGTCACTTCTATTCTGCTTCTGGCTGTCACCGAGTCTCTGCACAGGCCAACACAGCATCTTTTTAATAAAGAGTGAGGAGACTCCTTCAGTGACAAGCTTAGCCAAAGATGTACTATTTTAGACCACCCAGGGCTCTAGGGCTGCGTTCTTATAATCTCTCATGCCTTTGCCTTAAGCCGTCATCAACTGTAACCTGTCCTTCTCTAGAATTAACTAATTCAAGGGGCCTTATTCCCCTGGGCTTTGGCCAAGAACCCAGAGAGAGCCCTCAATGGAAGATATAATTTGCATAGCCAATCTTAGTTGCTGCACTGTCTCAGATAGTATGAGCAAATTTCACATTTACACTGATGCTGGACTTTTGTAAAGATTTATCCCAACCCATAAACTCCATTATTTCTTCTGGTGATAAATAAAATCATGATCTCATTAATGCTCCAGGATCCCCTGACTGTGTGGGTCATACCTAGAGAAGCAGTACACATAGTAGGTGGGTCTCCAGCAGGAAGCTTTCGCAGAGGTGGTTTTCAGGGATAATTTTGATCAATCAACTTGAAACATCAACTTGGAGTTACAAGCAAATCCTCTGCAATGAGATCTGTGCTGATTCCCAGATTGAGCACAGGACAAGATAAGTAAAGGAACTAATCTGTGGATAAGCATGTCTCTTCGAAGCTTCTAACGGGTATCTCTGATTTACAGGATGTCTTCAGGGCCATGCATCCAGAGCCTGACATTGTGCAGTTGTACCTGAAGCCACTGCTCATTGGAGAACTTGCCCCAGGAGAGCATAGCCAGGAAAGACACAAAAATGTGAGTGAGATGTCAGGATCCAGGGGTGTAGAAGGATGGAGACAAGGCATATTTTAAAGCCAGTTAACAGTTTTCTGTGAAGCCTGGGACCACAGTAGAGTCAATGGGTGGAGTCCACGTATTTCCAAACAATGCCTTTTTCTTTAGATCATCAGAACTCTTAAACCTTTGTGAAGCAAAAGAAGGAAATTGTTGGCCCTTCATCAAACAGTAATTTCATGTCTCTAAGCACCTACTTCATGCCAGGGAACTTATGGATATAATTTCCTTTTCATTGACTGCTTGTAATTATGCTTTATGTCTATGTCTATGTTCCCAGCCCAACTAAGTTGCATGAGAGCTGAAACTATGTCCACTTTTCTTATCCCTGTGTCCTGAAGACCTCCTTTCACAGGATCAACATGTAGTAGAAACTCCAAAAACAGCTACTGATTGAAAGATGTCGCTGTATCCTAACCACAGCCTTTGTAAATTTGGGGAGATTATCATTCAGGGAAAATAAATAACTTTCTAAAAGTCTGACAGCTGGTGTATCAAAGAGCTGAGACTCCAAATCACTTCTCTCTGGCTCCAATCCCTTAGGTATTCCCAAGGATAAATGCCATTCTTCCTTTAATATTTTGACTACACGAATACTGTCTTCTAAAGAACAGAGTCTCCATAGGACTAAAAACTCATTGGGATGGTTTTACATAACGCTGAGAGGAATTTTACTTAATATTGATTAATTCCATTTTTTGAAATTTATTTTTTGTAATAGCTTACATTTGCCTGACTCTTAAGCCCTTTGAAATAATTTGTACAATGTGTGGATCCATAAACCACTGTGAAGCAGCGGGAGCAAGGATTTTTTCCCTCTTTGAAAAATGAAGAAACAGACTCACAAAGGGAACAGGACTAATGTGAGGACACAGAACTGGTTACGGGCAAATCTGAGACTAATACTTAAGCTCACTCTTTAGGCCCATGTTCATCCCACAGCACAGCTCTGTTCTAAAGAGTGGGTTGGTAGGATGGACAGCCTGCACTCACGCCCCAACCCTGCCATTCTCAAATTGTGTGAGTCTAGGCAAGTTCTCAAACCTCTTTTGGCTCAGTTTCTCCCCCATAAGATACCAAAAACAATGGCACCAACCTTATGAGAGTTATTGGGAAAACAATTGAAAGAATTAAAGTCATCATTGAAAGTGCTTAGAAGAGCGCCTGGAACACAGTAAATGCTCAGTAAATTTTACTTATTATCATAATCATGAACTGATTATGGTACTAGTAATTTTAAAACTTTCAGATATGTCCCCATCATTTGGGTCAGGTAGCTCTAGGTTAAAAATTGAAGGTGATGCAAATCTTTATTGTTTTTCCTAAATTTTTTCTGTTAAGAAAAATAAAATCCCACTAAGGACTGAGACCTATCAGATAATCATTATCTAAAAGAGTGTTGGTCTCCAGAGATAAAGGTCTACCATAAGTTTTCTTTAATACATTTGTGGGGATATTTGAGTTGCTGTATATAGAAAATTAGTATTTGAGCATAAAATTCGGTGTCAGGTGTAGGTTTAAGTTCACCACCTGTCACTGACTTGTGATAACTTCAAGTCAGTCACTCTTCTGGGTTTTACTGATCTCCCTCAACTCTGCAATAAATGTTTTGCAAAAGATGACCAGGCTGGAGGCACCCTAGAGATAACAAGTTAATATTAATTATTAAAATAATCTGTGGCCACAAGAATTGTAAGATTGATGGGGCTCGGGAGATGAGCCTATCCAGAACTTTTGCCAGGCAATGGGTCCTTTAAAAGTTGTGTCTGTGAATTTTGAAACTTTTGGCTTCTAGAATTCTTTTCATAGCTCTTTCTATTTTGTTTCTAACGTTTCTCCTTTCTTACATCTGTACAACCCTGTTACCTTTCTCATAACCTGGTCACTTTCCCAGCTGTCCTAGTTTCGAGTCCATGATAGTCAATAAGCCAAGAGATATTTCTTTCCAACCTTGTGTGCCTCCCAATATGTTGTGCAAGTTTGTAAACCAATGGTGATGTTGTGCATGCACACTCACACATGCACATACACACAGGGCCCTTAAACGAGGCCTCTCCAACTGAGTACACACACACTAATAAGCCCTGCCTTGTTTTGGGGGATCCACTAAGCAGCTCTCAGAAAATTCATCCTGAGAGCTAATCTAAGTGAACTATATTGTTCTACGATCTCCATCTTCCATGAAATAACCCTTTCTACACATTAAGCAACTGATGGCCTGGAAAGTACTTTCTAAACTATACCAGTAACTACGGTAACACAGATCCATATAGATGACCAAGTTCCCCCAAACAGAACCAGAGCTCACTCAACACCTGAAATAATCCTGATGGTTTAAAAGGCGACTGTTAGGCGTACGTATCTCTTTACCGCACTCTCCTCTCCTTCCCCCTCCCCTGAAAAAATCTAATTTTGAATTCCATAACAGGTTTAGGACAGTTTACAAGTCATTATTCATCTTTCACTTCTGCAGAAAACAACAAAAATTTTTCATAAATTTTTTTGAAGGTTTTATTTGCTGGTTCATTGTTTTGGGGTTTTAATTCTGGACAATTAAATGTATTAATAAAATTCTATTAATAAAAGAGATGTATACAAAATTAATAAAATAAATTATTAATTATGTTCATCTGTATTCCCTTTCCCCTGAAGGAGCTAATTTACTCTTTAAATATTTGTTTCATAGTCACAGTTGGTGAAAGATTTCCAAGAATTGCGGAGGATCATAGAGTCTATGAACATGTTCCACGCCAACCTGGGGTTCTTCTTTCTTCACTTCACCCAGATCTTAATGTTGGAAATGCTGGCGTGGCTAATACTGTATCATTTTGGCAGTGGCTGGCCTGTTACTATATTCATTTCCTTTCTTCTCACAATTTCTCAGGTAAGCAGGTATACTAAGCCCAGGCAGCGTTGTCATAAAAAGGCTCAGAATTTCTTCTCTCTTTAGATTGGTGCCAGCTGCTGCCTGACACTTCTTGGCAAGGTACTCATCAATGTCAGGCACTTACCAGCAAGTGACCAAGCTTCACTGGGCTTTGGGTCTCTCCTCTCTAAAGTGAGGATAATAATGAATGTGGAATTATTCTAAGAAGGACTGATCAGGCAAATGTGTAAAATATAAAGCACAGTGTCTGGCCTATGGTAAATGTTTAATTAATGACAATTGCTGCTTTTTGCCCTGTTTTATCCCCACCAACTCAGTGATTTAAGTTCTGTCCTTTGCCATGCAACACACATATTTATCTTTCATTCTTTAACCAATCAACATTTATCAATGCATCAGACCACGAATTCTTCAAGGGCAGAGGTTATATCCTATAGAGAATAAGAACGTGTGAGTTCCTTCATAAATGACAAATAGCAACTGACACTTAGCAGGGCATTTGATAAATCTTTGTTGAATAAAGTATGAATCTCTGAACATAGCCTTCTATGAGCATGATACCATGTTGTCAATACAAAGGAAAAGTCAACATGCTCCCTGCTCCTGAGAGAACTCATCTAGTGGAGGAAATAGTCTTTCACAAACAGCTAAACACACTGCCTGGCACAATTCAATGTTATTAATCCCAAGGAAAGGAACAAGCATGTACTGTTGGAGCAGAAAAGAGCATCATTTAATTCTCATTAGAATCATTGGAAAGGGTTTTGTAGAGAATTAACTGCAATGTGTTTCCAGGTTCCAGAATTCTGGATGTTAATTCTTTTTCTTAAATCATCTTGTTTTATTTCTTGAAAAGTGACTTTTGGAAACAAGAAAGGAAACAAATATTTGTTTAGTGCATAGCATAAGCTGGACACTTTACATATACGTAAGTAGTACAACAACCCCGTGAGTCAGGTATTAGTGGCCCCTTTTATCAGATGAAGAACTGAAGGTGAGAGCTACCGAGTAACTTGCCCAGAGTCGTGAAGCTCGTTAATGGTGAAGAACAGTTTAGAATTCAAATCTGTCTGACACCAAAGACCATGGTCTTTGCACTCCATCCTGGAAACCTTTGAAAGTGACAAGGAGAGCATTGCAGGCTGAGACAACAAAGGCATAAAAGTTGGAAAGATCAGGCAGGATATGTATGGGAGATAGAAACTAATTTTGGCTGGAGGTCAAACAAGACCACCCACAGTTCTCAAATAAGGTTGTGAATCTAATATGGGACTCATTGATTGATTTCTTGTTAGGGTCCCAATTTCTCTAACAGTAACTTCATCTCTCCTAGGCCCAGAGCTCATTTTTGCAGCATGATGTGGGGCACCTTTCCATATTTAAGAAGTCCAAGTGGAATCACGTGATGCATAAATTTGTGATGTGCCATCTCAAGGTATGGGACGTCAGGGAGCATGAGGGGGATTCCTGAACATGAGTCCCTAAGGAGTAGTTCCCATGTTTGTGCATGGATATCAGTAAAAAATGTTTGTGATACCCCACAAATAAATGTAAGTGTACTGACAAGGGAGATAATATATACTCATATATAATACAACATCATAAAATATGTGTTGAAATGAGAATTTTAAATTTTTTGTGAGGATTCATTTAGTTCTATTTAAGAAACTCTTATATTTTGTATTGCCCTGGTAGACTCTTTGGCTGAATCCCTGGCATCCCCCTGCCCTAAGGAATCACCTCATAGAAGAAAGTGTGTGCCTCGAAAAATGACGATGTGCATTGTGGAATCATAAGTGGGAATATTCTTAGAAGGGATTTGAAGGTTTATTGTTGGGAAGCTAGGGGAGACCAGCAAGCCTGATTAGTCCTAGGGGTGGGGGCAAGGAGGGGGCAGCTATGAAGAAATAAAGGAAAAGATGCAAAACAGATACTAGTGAACAGAAAGACTAGTCAGGAAAAGCCAGGTGGCTCTGTTCAAGAGTGGAGGATTGCAAAATCCAGACTGCTGGAAAAAGCAGGTAGTGATATGACAGCTGGTCTTATCCCCGCTTACTTGGGCTCCAGGAAGCAGGTACACTGTCCTATGCACCACTGCAATGCAGCACCTAGGAGAGTGCCTGGCGCATGGAGCGCCTCAATAAGCATTTGTTGAATGAAGGAATGAAAAAAAGAAAGAAAGAATGAGTGAGTGAATGAATGAATGAATGAATGAACCAGTTAACAGTGCAGGACTTCCAAGCATGGCTTCCAGCCCTGGCTCTGACTGTACTCATTGTGTGATCTTTAGTAAATTACATTCTATCTCTGGCCCTCAGTGTTCCCATCAGTAGTACTAGGAGTTAAACTAGATCTCTGCTTTTCTAGAACTTTCTAGATTTTGGTGACTATGTACTCTGGCCTAGAAGGGAAGCAAATGCCTCTGAGCCTTCCACTAAACCAAATCCTTGTGTTCAAACCAGAACCCCTTAGGAAAAACCCACGGGCACTGACTCAGAGCCTATTAGTTCTTCCCTAACAAAGTGATTTTATACATATATCTCATTCTGGTTATCTGCTTCCCCAGCCCATAGTGGCTTGGAAGTAGCCAACTAATGAAAGAGTGAAGACAATGCTGGAGTCAGGCCCACAGAGAGTAGGGAGCAGTAACTACTCACAGCAAATGATAAGGAAACACAGATGGGGACTCACATTGTGTGAGCCTGACAAGTGCCGGGTTCAGAACTAGTCCCGTTAGGCTATTTTCTCAAGTAATTCTAATGACGTGAGGACGTAGTACTCCTAGTTTTCAGTTGAAATTCATGTTCAGAGGGGTTAAGTATTTAAGCCAATGGCCATAAACTGGTCACTGGAGAATTCATCGCACAGCACTAAATATTGCAGGCACTGGAGCAGAGCTGCTCAATGCTGGCTATCATTTGGAGCCACCTCAAGAACTTATTTTTTAAAGCCCTGATGCCTAAGCACCATCTCTAGATATTCTAAATTCATCTCCGGTAGAGTCTACACATCAGTGTTTTTTGAAATTTCCCCAGGTGATTCGAACCTGCAAAAACGAACCCGCCTTCTGTGGGAATTCATGCACTCATGAGCTGGGTCACTTTGAACAAATTACTTAATGATTTTGAACCTCAGTTTCTTCAGCTGAAAAATGAGGATAGATGATGGCTTCAACCTGATTAGGATGTTGTTAGGATTATACTCAATGCTCATGTGGCATGCTCCACCAAGTGTCTGGCATACAGGAAATGCTTAATAATGGTTAGTTGTTACTAACCTAGGAACAGTCTTTCTATAATCAAAATGAAGACTCAGCATCAATAAGAAAAATGTTTAATCATTGAAGTATTAAGAAGATGGAGATAAATCACATCATCACTGAGTTGCAAGGTACCTGGAATCACCTACTTTTACCTACCCTCTCTCCCACTGATCAGTTTGAGCCTTAAGTCAATCGGATAACACAGAGTTGGATTTTGAGACGTGTCCCCCAAAATAGAATGAATAATAGGTTGTTATTTCATGTGACAGGTCACATTTGACCAGAAAATTCCTAGGGGCATTCTATTCCACCCTCTCTCCACCATCGTAAGATAGATGAGGCTGTTTCTGAATTCACTCAGAGATACTTACCACAGAATAAAAGCAGAGGCGGTTTCTTACGCTATTGTGAGTTTCAGGTAATAGGCCAGCCCATTTTTCCTCCTCTGTTCTGAGGAGTCAGAGGAAAGGTAAGACTCATCTGCCCTGGAGGTAGCTGGCAGTGGATTCAGTGCCAGTATGTGAAATATTTCAGATCAGCCCCACCCACACTGGCACTTTAAAAAATAAATCACTGGTTTCCCATTGATCCAGATTTGTACACAGCTATTTCTACCTAAGCTGTGTCTCCAGACACAATTTTGCACTAGTCGAAATGAATATAACCTCGATGACTTGTGAACTGAGTAAGAAAATTGGAAATGGCTCTAAAAGCAAATCAAGTGTACTCTGCCTTTTTTGCAGGCAAAAACAGTGACTCATGAGCAAAATGAACATTGGCTTCAACTATGTGCAGGAGAGAAAACTACCTGTGGAGAGGAAAGGTGGGCAGGGAGGATGTAACAAAGAAAATTATAATGTAAACAGCAACATCCCCGCCTTAGACATGCATACAATTTTAAAGTTTAAAACTTAACCTCATGTCAATTGCCTCCCCCCACCACCTCCTGCAAAAGGCACCAATATGGAGATTCTTTAGAATTTTCATTCACCAACTGAGAAAAAATATATATGCTCTGGTCTTTCCAGTGTTTGCACAATAAAAGAGCACTTCCCAAAATAAACCGTGAAATGTTTGCATACATTTTGGACTACTGTGAAATACTAAAATCAAAATGGACTCCTTGTAGCATATTTTTCATATTCATCAGTATGCACATATAAATAAACTAAGAATCAAGTCTCATTACAGGGATAGTGGGACAGAACATTTGAAATTAAGATCTTCCTAGAAAATCTAGCCTATACTGATTCCATGATGACATCCTAAAACATTTTATTTTGGGGCCGGGCACGGTGGCCTGTAATCCCAGCACTTTGGGAGGCCGAGACGGGCGGATCACGAGGTCAGGAGATCGAGACCATCCTGGCGAACACAGTGAAACCCCGTCTCTACTAAAAAATACAAAAAACTAGCCAGGCGAGGTGGGGGCCGCCTGTAGTCCTACTCGGGAGGCTGAGGCAGGAAAATGGCGTAAACCCGGGAGGCGGAGCTTGCAGTGAGCTGAGATCTGGTCTCTGCACTCCAGCCTGGGCAACAGAGTGAGACTCCATCTCAAAAAAAAAAAAAAAAAAATTTATTTTGGTAAGGAAAGTGTCAAGCATGTTTTTTTCTGCAATCCTCTTAGACGCCTCATCCATTTTATAGATGAGGAAATTGCCCAAGGTCACACACCTAAATAGATAGCCAAGTAGGGATTAAATATAGTCAGCTGGCGGAAGAGACCAAACGTGGGTTCTCAGGAGACTTAGTTGAAAAGGAGAATATCTCATCACATTGTCCTTGTTCAGTTATCTACTACTTCCATTGGATTATATGTTTCCTAAGTGTGGAAACCTCATTTTATCATGTTTATCTTTATGTTCCAAATGCCTAGCTCAGTAACTATCTGACACCTAGGACATAATTCAAAATAAATAATGAATGTGTGAATAAATACACAATTATAAGAGTAAGTGGCTCATATGCAATTTAAAAACTCTTTTATCATTTTATTTTATTTTTATTTATAATCGACACATACTAATTGTATGTATTTATGAGGTACAGTGTGATGTTTCAATGCATATGTACGTTGTATAATGATCAAGTCAAGGTTGTTAGCATATTCATCACTTTAAACATTTATCATTTCTTTGTTGTAACATTCAATATCCTCTCTTCTAGCTATCTTGAAATATATAATACCTGATAATACCTGATTGTTAGCTACAGTCACCCTACTGCAGTGGTCCTCAATCTTTCTGGCACCAGGGACCAGTTTCATGGAAGACGGTTTTCCCATGGACCAGTGGGTGGGGGGTGGTTTCAGGATGATTCAAACACATTACATTTATTGTGCACTTTATTTCTATTATTATTAGATTGTAATAATGAAATAATTATACAATTTACCATAATGTAGAATCAGCGGGAGCCCTGAGCTTGTTTTCCTGCAACTACTGGGTCCCATCTGGGGTGATGGGAGACAGTGACAGATCATCAGGCATTAGATTCTCATAAGGAGCATGTAACCTAGATCCCTCACATGTGCAGTTTACAACAGGCTTCGTGCTCCTGTGAGAATCTAATGCTGCAGCTGATCTCACAGGAGGCAGAGCTCAGGCTGTAATGAGAATGACGGGGAGCAGCTGTAAATACAGCTGAAGCTTCCCTTGCTTGCCTGCCACTCACCTTCTGCTATGCAGCCCAGTTTCTAACAGGCCACAGACTGGTACCGGTCCGTGGCCCGGGGGTTGAGGACCCTTGCCCTAGAATGCCAAACTCATTTTTCCTGTCTAGCTGTAACTTTGTACCCATCGTATGCAATTTGATGGAAAAAACACAGAGCACTGATGGGGCCCTAGAAGGGGGGACAGAAATTGTTAAGTATAGTTTGTGACATGTTGAGGCTTAAGCATCATGAACTATCCATATATATATATAAAATATATATATATATATCACATATATATCATGTATATATGATATTTCATGATACTCAAGCTCAACGTGTCACAAACTATACTTAACAATTTCTGTCCCCCCCCTTCTGGGTGGGGAGGAGAGAGAGAGATCCATATATATATATGTACACACACACACACATATATATACGCACACACGTATACACACACACACACACACACACATATATATATATATTTGGAAAGTCCCCATTCAGGCATATGATTCAGGATATAGACTCAGGCTGGAGGGTTGCAAGAAGGTTAGGGAATGTTAATTGGGAATGAGATGGGGGTTGCTAAGAAACAACTGCAAAGAAGACTATGGAAACACAATGCTAATGCTCACAGATATTCAAATAAAGAGCCATCCCCTTCTACTACAGATGTTTGGTGTCCAGACCAGCATGCTCCTACAGAAATACAATGCACCACGTTAAAATGACACTTGCATTTCAAATTTTCTAATAGTCATATTTAAAAGGTAACTTTATTACTCCACATATATTCAAAATAGTCTTATTTCAACATGTAATCAATGTAAAAATTATTGATGAACTATTTTACATTCCTTTTTTCATACTGAATCTTCAAAATCCAGTAGGTGTTTTATGCTTACGGCTTGTCTTTATTCGGTCGCTTTTCAAGTGCTCAGTTGCTCAATAGCCACATGTGCTAATGGCTATTGCATTGGACAGAGCGGACTAGAACATGCATAGACTGCTTGCTAAGCTATGTCAAATATGCAATCAAAAACTACTACTGCTGCTCATTCTTCTGTAAATGATTAACATAAAGGAGGAAAAACTGAATATCCCAGCATGCCAACATTTTACATACGTCATCTCATAACTCCCCAGACCACCCACGGAAGTAAATGTGCTTATGTTATTTACCGGAGATAGAACTGAGCCTCAAAGAGGTTGGGTGACTTGCCCAAAACATGCAGCAGTATTTATACATCCAGTATATGTAACCAGGTTGATGTGCCTCCAAATTATTTGCTCTATTAAAATTTCAGACTTTCTATGGTAAAAAAAAAAAAAAAAAAAAAATCACAAACAACCTAATCAGAGGTGACTCAAGCTTGGCATCAGCTAAAGTCTTTTTATTCTCATTTATTTTTGTATGAGAGCATTGAAACCGAGACATGCAAGGATCTGAGCCAAGCCCCCCAAGGAGATCACTTCAGATCCTTGATTCTTTGAAACACTCATTGAAGTAAGATACCTGGGGCCGCTTCTTTTTCCCCAGAACTAATTAAAGTCTCGGAGGTAAGTCTTCTTTATATGTAAAATAGAAACAATTCTCTCTGCCCCACCTACCTTCAGCTTTTTTTTTTTTTAATGAAGATCAAATAAGGGAAGGATGGGACAACATTTCTTTTCAACCAGCTTTTATGATTTTCATTACCAAGACTTTTAGCCTAAAATTGAGTTTCTGGATCAGAGATTTATTTCTTTGTAAGCTATGAGTGCCTCTGTCCGATGAGTCATGCTGTGGCTCAGCAGTGGAGGCAAGCTAGAGAAACTCAGATGTCTTATTTTGACTTTGGGGATGCATGCAGAAAACTCTGAGAGTGAAGGGTATTTCAGGAAAGAATTATTTCAAGTAACGAGCCCTCTCTTCTCCTCAGGGCCTGTCAGCAAACTGGTGGAATTACCGGCACTTTCAACATCACGTAAAGCCGAACATCTACCCCAAAGACCCGGATATTGACATGGGCCCACTTTTTCTGCTCGGAGATTCACAGCCTGTCAAGGTACACTTAGAAATCTTGAGCACTGGGGAAATGTTCCTGGAAGTGGTTCCTGGAAAGGCTTACAGCCTTGCCTTGGAAAAATCAAGCCAGAAATTCTGGCTTCACACACAATCTGAGAACATTTCTCCTTCTTTTAGGCTCAAAATATAGATTTGAAATAACTGAATCTGGGGCTGTAAGAATACGAGGGCATTTAGAGTCGTAACCTTTAAGTCTATGACCTTAAAGATCATCCAGTCCAACCTCCCACAGCAGGAAATATGGGAATCCACATTACTCTGTTTGAGCAATCTCAGTGACAGATGGGTCCCTGCCCAGTGCCTGTCATTTTCTCTGAGGCAATACAAGCCAGTGTTAGATCATGGAACCAGATGACTGAGGTTGCAATGACCGTCTGAGGTTTAAACAGGGCATGGAGAAACATTCACTGAGAGAATATAGGTCAATATATTCAATAAGCACTAGGTCACGTACATTCACGTACCTAGTTATCTCAACTAATTCTAGCCCAGTTAGAAGACTTTACACTGTTATATTTCCTTCATGTCCATTTTGGTGCATTTATACATGAACTACAGCCCAAATGCCATGGAAGAGAGCTAGAGGTCTCACCTCTAATTTGAGCTTCTTAAACAACAGAAAAAGTGGGGGGAAGTCATCTTCAGAATTTCTCAGTTAATGATTACTTGTTAAAACTTCAACTTGAAACCATCATGTAAAGGACAACATCAATTACCAAGATTTTTAGGAGGGAGTCTTTCTTTTTTTTTTTTTTTTTTTTTTTGAGACAGAGTTTCGCTCTGTCACCCAGGCTGGAGTACAGCGGCACAATCTCGGCTCACTGCAAGCTCCACCTCCTGAGTTCATGCCATTCTCCTACCTCAGCCTCCCGAGTAACTGGGACTACAGGTGCCCGCCACCACTCCCAGCTAATTTTTTATATTCTTTTTTAGTAGAGGTGAGATTTCACCGTGTTAGCCAGGATGGTCTTGATCTCCTGACCTTGTGATCCGCCCGCCTCAGCCTCTCAAAGTGAGGAGGGAGTCTTTCTTAAGCACAGGAGGTATAAGGATAACCAAAGAAAAGTGCCTCCCTTCAAGTGAAGTACCTGAGAGTCAGATACTTGGGAAGAGGTTGCTATCTCCTAGAAAAACTAGGAGTTTTATAAAAATAAAACGGTGTAGCCTCCTCAGTTGTTGCCTGTCTGGTCCATTAACCAAAAATTGTGCAACTTTTTGAAAGTAGTTTTTTTCATATTTGGGAGACTCACACTTTTCCCTAGCTGAAAGAGCAAACAAGGTCTCTTGCTTTGAAAAAATTCTTGGTGATGTGATCACAAATCAGTTGCTTTTGACAATGATTCCGCAAACACATTGGACTTCCCTGATGTTTGTGGATTTCTATGATCATCATTAGAATTGTAAAGTATTCATTTCTCCAATTGTCCCCTCATATCTCCCCTTCCTCCTACAGAGCAAGGGAGTTTGTCTCAGGGAAGTTCGTGAAGCAGCTTGAGTTCAGACATGCCTTCTGTAGAGCTATTTTCAGTACACAGGCTACCTCTTCACAAACAATAGAGGTTACTCTCCAAGTTCTCAAGCTGCTCCTGGGATATCCCTAAAACCTTAAAATATATGTAATATAATTTCAAAGCTACTGCACAAGATGTTATTTAAAATTATTTATTTAAACTCTAAAATTCAGTACTTTCACATCAAAAGCATTTCTAATCAGCCCTGGGCTTTTCCTTTCTTCCTTCTTTACTGTCTGCCTTTCTAACACTTTATTCAAATGTTAAGTTTCTTCAGCAAGCATTTATTAATACTTCTATGTCCTGTGCTTATATCCTGGAAGACAGAATCCTACTTTGAGGTGATACTCACAATCTGTCCATTACGGTTTGTTCACTCCCACACACTTCCAACTAGTCCCTTTACCATGTTTCCTGCTACTAAAATGTTTAAAGGTTTAGGAATAACTGCAAATAGCTATTACTACCTTATCACTATGATATTTCTTATAATTTTTGACAATAAGAGAAGGAAGGACCAACTACACAATCCAAATACAAGAAATCTATACATAGGAGGAAAGATATCAAAGGAAAGGAGAAAGCAAGAGTCAAACACTGCCCAGAGTTTTAACTGAATGAACATAGGCAAAAATACAGAGTGAGTGTGAATTATCATTTATTCATTAATTCCTTTAATAAACATTTATTGAGTGTCTGCTAGATACTAGAGATAGAACCATTACTTCTATCCTCCTTTCAAAGCGTTTGCTGCCTTTGTGCCCTGAATATATGCCAGATTAAGGAGACTCCTAGAAAATGAATCAAATTCTCAGTAGTGAATGTAATATTATAATTATATTATTATATAGTAATTATATAATGTATAATAAATATTATATGTACTATCATCATGGGCTAAAATAATAAATGATAGTGTGACTTCCATGATGAGAACATAAAAGAAGAAAGATGAGACAGATAGGAGGGGCCATGACTATATATTTTATCGTATTACCATTTAGTATCTTTTGGATGAATGAATTTAAAAGAAAATTCTTGACTGTGATGAATCAATCACACATCTGTTGGATGAATGAATGAATATGGAGCAGAATCCTAAATGCCATAGTTGAAGAAGCACAAGAAAAACTCAGAAATGTCCCATTTCAGTGAGCATTCCACCTCACATAAAGAGAAAAAAAATTCAAAATGATTCCCACAGGAACAAAAAAATGATACGATTCCCACAGTCCAATGGAATATTCCATTTGTGATAGAATTACCCACATATAATGAAAGCAAGACGACGCCACAATATTTCTTCCTCCCATCCTGGTTCTGGTTCTTCTAGTGCCTCAGACTTGAAAGCTAATGAACACTGATCAGATGGCTCTTTCCATAACGATTTTAGACACACACACACACAAGCATGTGCACACACACACATACACACACACACATACACATGCATCCTTGAGTGTGATGACCAGAAGTATGGTCTCTTATTTTTGTTTTATTCTCTCTCCATTCAGTACGGCAAGAAGAAAATCAAATACATCAACTATGAAAAGCAGCACCTGTACTTCTACATGGGTGAGTCTCCCAGAGCCACATTCCTTATATCCCATTTCCTTGAAGCAAGTACTTGTCAAGGCAGAAGTCATAATTGGAATGCTCTCACAGAGACCAGCCCACGTCCTATTGCTATTGAGCAAAGCAGCATGTCTTATTTCAGACTCCCTGGGGTGGAAAGCTGCAAAGGGAGATGGAAAAATAAACAGCCTTTTTAAACAGCACCTCATCACTCTGAGAGTTGGATGGGGAAGGAGGGAGATACCCAATGAGGGAGGGAAGCCAGGCTCCCAGTCAAGGGACCTGCATCTAGGACTGTCATTCTGGAAAGACCAAACATCTATCAAGAGAAAAGAATAATGGTGTTTGGGTAGGGAGGAAGTAGAGATGGGGAGATAAATCTGAAGCATTGACAGTGTGACACCAGAAATGGAGAGGCCGGGGAACAAAGGGCACCTGCAGTGCTCTTGTGTGGAAGAAAGCTGTCTGCTCCCATGACCTGCATATAGCTGTGGGAAGGCATGAGACATATATATCTGAGTGTGGGCATGTGGGTCAAGTTTGAAGGAAAATACAGGTAGCTGCGTAAATCTGATACCAGTAAAAGAACATCATAAGCAAAGACTGCTCTTAACCAATATCAAACTCATAGCAGCTCACAAAAAAAGCTTTCAAGAAACCCCCAAATCTGCCCAACTAAAACATGTATCTGGGGAATAAACCAAAATCAGGGAAAGAACCAAACATTTCCTGTAGTCCAGTTGTTCTCAACCAGAGCAATTTTGCCTCCCAGGGGCAATGTCAAAAGACATTTTTTTGGTTATTGCAACAGAGGAGGAGGGAAGGTATTGGCAGTCAGTGGATAGAAGCCAGGGATGCTGCTAAACATTCTGCGATGCAAAGGAAGCCCCTCATAAAAATAATCATCTCACCCAAATTGTCAGCAGTGCTGGGCTTGAGAAACATAGTTGCGATGATCTGACTTGCCCACATGTAGGCCACAAATGGCCACCCCTATCATGCCAGAGGAAGATAGCAGGGGGCAAATTTTTTGAAGTGTGAGGTCGACCATCACTGCTGGATCCTCTACAGTGGGAATTCAGCCTTCCCCATCCTGCACTCGTCACCTGCCCCGCTGCTCTTGCAAAACCTAAAAGAGGAATGAGGACATTGGTGCCCCATTTTTAAAAGGTAGCTGATTCCCAGCCTGACTAGATGTGTGTCTGCAAAAGAAAACCCTGTTGAAGTTTCTTCTCTGAACTCTCCTGAGAAACATGTGTTTACCTCCCCTGTCTGAAGTGGGACAATATGCCCTTACCTTATGAGAAATGAGGGAATGGTGTGAATTCACTGCAAAATGCCCACTTCACAAACCACCCTACCACCACCAAGAGCTGCTTTATTGTGGCCTTTCCCAGCAAATGCTAGCTTAACATCTCGGGTACAAATGAGTCGTGCTCAAACTGTCAAAAAGAAACAAAACCAGACAGTTGTTAAAGGCAGCAAGACAAATCCTATTCAGGCTATCGCACTAGGGGAGACAGACTTCACCATAAACCGAGCTTAATTCTCCTGACGCAAAAGTGAGAGAGAGGCTTTTTAAATGCTGGAGCATGCTAAAGGAAAAGTACTGAAAGACACTGGGAGATGGGGTGGGGGTGGAGGAGCTGGTTGGTAAGATTTGTCCAGACTATCTGTGTCTGCTAACTGGTATTTATTAAAGGTAGGCTCCTATCCTCCCAAACAGACTGACGGATAAGAGCCCCATCCTTCTTGATGACTACATTTCAAAGGGATTGTTACCAGGCCCTTGAGAAATACATTTCTGGAGTGTAGAAGCTACATCTCAAAAGAAGACACAAAGGATTTATAATTGTCAGTGTCCTAAAGTAAATGCTCTATAAAAAGGGGTGTCAGGTGCCTATAGTCAGACACTGGCCAGAATAAACAGTAAATTATTTTGGCAGCCCTGAGCTTTCTCAGGTAAAAACTTCAAGGATGCTGGGATTATCCCAGAGAGATAGCCTTGAGCTTTGAGGAACTATGCTAGCGTTCGTTCAAGTTTCTTCGTGTGGAGAGTGGATGAAATCATTTGTGCTGAGAGTCTGCAATTCTCGTAGGCCAAGGATGAGGCCTAGTTGAGAAGAGGGCTCAAAGGATCCTAACCAAAGTTTGACCAGGCAGACAGCCTTTGTCAAAAGCCAGAGGATCTCCTTAAGGATCCTCTGTGCCTGGGAAGCCTCAGTGATGCTGGGGGAAAGGCAGGTAAATAACTCTGACCAGGAAACGAGTATACCTTCTTCATCTCTGACACCTCAACACACTATAATGGGGCTAAATCCCAAAGATCCAGGGAGACTGAAGGACTCCAAGGAACTTGAAAACACTTGAAAGCTGGTAGCAGAAGCTGTTCAGGGATGCCTTCCTCAAAAATGACTCAAATCTCCCAAGCTTTCCTAGCTTCTTTGAGGCAGCTTGAACCTGGAGCTACTGATCTAATTCTTAGCCCCGTCTTTTAGACTTGAAATGTCCATTGCAGTCCAGGATGGGGCTGTGGATCTCCACTTGCATCTTTCCTTGGGGCCAGCATTCCAGGAATGCTGCATTAAGGAGATAGACTCCTGCTCACTTGCACTGGGGTCACATTTTTAAATTAATACATTTACTGGATTTATTAAATAAATGTATTAAGTACGTTATAAAAATACAACACAGTAATCACAAAACAGATTGTGGATCATCCTAATACCAAAAACAGGGAGAGACAGAACAACAAAATGAGATTTTAGGCCAGTACCCCTGATGAACATCAATGCGAAAATCCTTACTAAAATACTGGCAAACCAAATCCAGCAGCACATCAAAAAGCTTATTCACCACAATTAAGTTGGAATTCAAGGCTGGTTCAACATACACAAATAAATAAATGTAATCCATCACATAAGCAGAACCAATGACAAAAACCACATGACTGTCTCAATTGATGCAGAAAAGGTCTTCAGTAAAATTCAACACCCCTTTATGCTAAAAAAAACTCTCAATAATCTAGGTATTAATGGAAAGTATCTCAAAATAATAAGAGATATTAACGACAAACACACAGCCAATATCATACTGAATGGGCAAAAGCTGGAAGCATTCCCTTTGAAAACTGGCACAAGACAACCTCTCTCACCACTCCTATTTAACATAGTATTGGAAGTTTCTGGCCAGGGCATTCAAGCAAGAGAAAGAAATAAAGCATATTCAAATAGGAACAGAGGAAGTCAAATTGTCTCTGTTTGCAGATGACATGATTGTATACTTAGAAAACCCCATCATCTCAGCCCAAAATCTCCTTAAACTGATAAGCAACTTCAGCAAAGTCTCAGGATACAAAATCAATATACAAAAACCACAAGCATTCCTATACACCAATAATAGACAAACAGAAAGCCAAATCATGAGTGAACTCTCATTCACAACTGTTACAAAGATAAGAAAATACCTAGGAATACAACTTACAAGGAACATAAAGGATCATTTCAAGTAGAACTACAAAGCACTGCTCAAGGAAATAAAGAAGGACACAAACAAATGTAAAAATATACCATGCTCAAGAATAGGAAGAATCAATATCATAAAAATGGCCATATTGCCCAAAGTAATGTGTAGATTCAATGCTATCCCCATCAAGGTACCATTGACTTTCTTCACAGAATTAGAAAAAACTACTTTAAATTTCATACGGAACCAAAAAAAAAAGCCCATATAGCCAAGACAATCCTAAGCAAAAAGAACAAAACTGAAGGTATCATGCTACCTGACTTCAAACTATACTACAAGTATACCAAACTATACTACAGTAACCAAAACAGCGTGGTACTGGTACCAAAACAGATATATAGACCAATGGAACAGAATAGAGGCCTAAGAAATAATGCCACACATCTACAACCTTCTGATCTTTGACAAACCTGACAAAAACAAGCAGTGGGGAAAGGATTCCCTATTTGATAAATGGTGTTGGGAAAACTGACTAGCCATATGCAGAAAACTGAAACTAGACCCCTTCCTTATACCTTATAAAAAATTAACTCAAGATGGACTAAAGACTTAAACATAAGACCTAAAACCATAAATACCCTAGAGGAAAACCTAGGCAAAACAATTCAGGACATAGGCATGGGCAAAGACTTCATGACTAAAACACCAAAAGCTATGGCAACAAAAGCCAAAATAGACAAATGGGATCTAATTAAACTAAAGAGCATCTGCAGAGCAAAAGAAACTATCATCAGAGTGAACAGGCAACCTACAGAATGGGAGAAAATTTATTTAATCTAGCCATCTGACAAGGGGCTAATATCCAGAATCTATAAGGAACTTAAACAAATTTACAAGAAAAAAACAAGCAACCCCATCAAAAAGTGGGCAAAGGATATGAACAGACACTTCTCAAAAGAAGACATTTATGCAGCCAACAAACATATGAAAAAAAACTCATAATCACTGGTCATTAGAGAAATGTAAATGAAAACCACAATATGATACCATCTCATGCCAGTTAGAATGGTGATCATTAAAAAGGCAGGAAAAAACAGATGCTGGAGAGGATGTGGAGAAATAGAAATGCTTTTATACTGTTGGTGGGAGTGTAAATTAGCTCAATCATTGTGGAAGACAGTGTGGTGATTCCTCAAGAATGTAGAACCAGAAATACCATTTGACCCAGCAATCCCATTACTGGGGATATACCCAAAGGATTATAAATCATTCTGCTATAAAGACACATGCACACATATGTTTATTGCAACACTATTCACAATAGCAAAGACTTGGAACCAACCCAAATGCCCATTAATGTTAGACTGAATAAAGAAAATGTGGCACATATATACCGTGGAAAGCTATGCAGTCATAAAAATGGATGAGTTCATGTCCTTTGCAGGGACATGGATGAAGCGGGAAACCATCATTCTCAGCAAACTAACACAGGAACAGAAAACCAAACACCGCATGTTCTCACTCATAAGTGGGAGTTAAACAATGAGAACACACGGACACAGGAAGGGGAACATCACACACCAGGGGCTGTTGGTGGGTTGGGGGTTAGAGGAGGGATAACATTAGGAGAACAACCTAATGTAGATAGATGATGGGTTGATGGGTGCAGCAAACCACCAAGGCACGTGTAGACCTATGTAACAAACCTGCACGTTCTGCACATGTATTCCAGAACTTAAAGTATAAAAAAAAAAAAAAGGATGCTGGAAAATATTTAGAGAAATGGGAAGATGGTCAGGATATGCTTTATTTTTAAAGGTAGTGTACCAAACAGTACTATAGGTAGCATAATAGCAATTTTTAGAACATATATTAATATATCTATATTCAAAATGTTTATGGTAATATTTGGGTAGTAAGATTACAGGTGATTTTCCTCTTTTTACTTTTATTTTAGTTTCAAGGGTACATGTGCACGTTTGTTATACAGATAAATTGTGTGTCTCAGGAGGCATCACTACTCACAATAGCTAAGACACGGAATCAGCCTAAAGGCACATCAATGGTAGACTGCTTAGATAAAATGTGGTACGTATACACCATGGAATACTACACATCCATTCAAAAGAATAAGATAATGTCCTTTGCAGCAATATGGATGGAGATGGAGGCCATCATCCTAGGTGAACTAACGCAGGAACAGAAAACCCAACACTGCATGTTCTCACTTCTACGTGGGAGCTAAACATTAAATACACATGAACACATTCTGTTTATTTATTCAGCATCATTTTTTGTTCTATTTCAGTTGGGCTCCCACTCCTTATGCCAGTATATTTCAACCTGCAATCTATGCAAGTGATGTACCTTCGAAGATATTGGGTGGTGAGTAATGTGGCTCATTCTCTGAAACTAGACCAAGTAGAAGAGGGAAAATGAAAATGCTGTGTCCTCTCCAGATATAGCTTCCTTGAATAACAAGGCATAAGATTCAGCCAGAACGTGAAGGGACCCCAAGCCAATGAAGCAGAAATGAAATCATGTTCAGGGTGTATAACTTTCAAGTGCTTTTCTCTGCAGGACATCGCCTGGGTTAGCAGCTTTTACATCCGATATTTCATCACATTTGGCCCATACTATGGAATCTTTGGGACTGTGTTGCTCATCTATTTGGTCAAGTAAGAATACTATTTTATTTCGGTAATCCAAATGATCCTCGTCAGATCCTTCCCCATCAGAGCTATTTGTCATCAGTTTTAAAACAGATTAGATTATGACATCATGCCCCATTTCTTGCAGCTGAGGTGTTTTTAAGCAAATGTGAAAAAAATTAGTTCAAATAGTTGAATAAGACGAGCCCTTTGCAAAAAAAAATTTGCCCAATCCCCATTTTTACCCACGTCCTGGATTCTTAAAGGAAGCATTTCAATTGAATCCTAAATCCTTAAAACTGTAATCTAGGTAGACATAGAAATCCCTACCAAAGAATGACAGGGAAGGAATTTTTTTTTTAAGTTATTTTATGACTAGAGGTTTTCCCAATGCATTTTTTGTTTGAATAGTCCTCCCAATTTTCCAATGTAATCCTCCCTCATTCTGTTGTCAAGTTATTCTAAGTCCTAAATAATTATAAGAATAATGATAGCTACTATGCATCAGACACTTTGTTAAAGGCTTTACATGCTTTATCTTATTTGATGTAATCCTCACACAATGCTGCAGTGTAGATAGTATCATGCTCATTTTTCTGCTAAAGGAACTGAAGTTTAAGGAGATTAAATCATAGGCCCAAGGGCATGTAAGAGCAAGTAAGAGCCAAGGCCAGTGCCGAAACAGAACTTGAATCCAGCTCTTATCTGACAACAAAGCCCAGGCTGTCAACCAGTTTGCATGTGCCCTTAAATTTCCCTAGTGGTTTTGATCTTTGCACTAGAGCTACAGAAAACTTTAGAAGTTCTGCTCCCATACATTTGGCAGTCATGTGGCTGAATGCTTAGTGTGTCATCTCTTGATATAAAGGTCTTTCAGAGAAGAAAAAGAAAGATCACCATTTTACTGGAAACTTTGAGTCTCTTTCATTTCCTCCAGTGCTCAACCAGCTCTACCAGGGGTTATGCAAGCCCAGTGCTTGCTACTGAAACACCCTAAACAGTCATCACTTCCTCCTTTTATTCCTCCAAAAGGTTTCTTGAAAGTCCTTGGATTGCATATGTTACCCAGATGAGCCACATACCAATGAGAATGAGCACAGAGGAGAACCGAGACTGGCTCAGCACTCAGGTAATGATGGAGTTCCTCGGGAAGAATCTTTCTAACCACACTGATTTAGAACCCGGTCCCTCCCTTGACACACGGGGATTATGGGGATTACAATTCAAGATGAGATTTGAGTGCGGACACAGGCAAACTGTATCAGTGGACAATTTGATGGGAAGAGGGCTAGGAAATGGGTGCTAGTTGACAGTTGGGGAAGAAATTATAGGGGTGTGGAGAATGTTCCCAGTCCACCTTTGGGTGGGGCCACAGAACCCATCAAGTCATGAGTCATGCATGGGTCCAAGTGGGGACAGTCTGAAAAACATCTCAAAAAATTAATCTTAGGTTCTATAATAGTGATGTTATCGACAAGCACAATTGGGAAAGTCACAAATCCTGTCACCTCTGGCCGCATGACTCCTGAGCAGTAAAGAATTATAGAAACTATGCCTCCATCTTATCAGAATTCAGGCCCCTCTCACAATCCTAACGTTATGGCCTTTTATTAGTTATACAAAAGCAGTTTAGTTTTGGGAAGGGCTACTATCATCCTTGCTTTAAGGTTAAACTACAAAATAAGTTCCTCCCAAAGTCAGCTTAGCCTACACCCAGGAATTACAAAGGACAGCTTGGAGATTAGAAGCAAGATGTAGTCAACTATGTCAGATTTATCTTACTGTCATAATTTTGCAAAGGTGGTCTCAAATATTTTCTTTGTTTGACACTTGGGCTCATTTATAACTAATATAAGCTTTTTCTTTGCAGGTCTTGGCCACCTGTAATATTGAACAGTCCTTTTTCAATGACTGGTTCACTGGGCACCTGAACTTCCAAATTGAGCACCAGTGAGTAACAAGAATAGTCCTTAGTAGGGCAAGTGCAGTCACTTATAACATCCCCATATATAATCCAGATCAGGCCCTAGGCTGAAGGTCTCAGAGAACCAGCATTTTCTACAGGCTGCTATCTTTCTATTAGCAATGATGGGGAAGAAAGGGAAGGAAGGATGGAAGGAAGGAAGGAAGGAAAGAAGGAAGGAAGGAAGGAAGGAAGGAAGGAGAGAGAAAGAAAACAAGAGAGAGAGAAAGGAAGGAAGGAAAGAAAGGAAAGAAAGAAAGAAAGAAAAAGGAAGGAAGGAAGAAAGAAAGGAAGGAAGGAAGGAAGGAAGGAAGGAAGGAAGGAAGGAAGGAAGGAAGGAAGGAAGGAAGGAAGGAAGGAAGGAAGGAAAGATTGTGAGTAAATAGAGTGAAATCTTGGAAAAGTGCCTGTGATTCCATTTTCAGATACCTGCAGGCTTGAGAAGTGGGTAACCAAGTTGTGTTGAAATTTAATTTAAATATCTATCTCTTTAGATCTGAAGTTATAAAATAATCAATGATAAAACCCATTCCCTGACGCAATATTCAAATGGTATTGGCAATACTTTGCCAATGAGTCAGTTAGGTGGCCATAAAATAAAGAGAAAATGGTAACACTTGGAGAGTTGATCTCCAGAATATTCAAGGGAGAGACTGTCCACATCCTCTTTACCTAAGCCATATTTTGGATAGTCAGAGAAGGAAAGAGCTCTTACACCTGCTCATTTAATTTTCTCATCCTTTCCTTCATGTTAGTTCTTAAAAGTCTCAGCAAAACAAGGAAGGACTATTATTCACATTTTATCAAAGATTAAGTTAAAACCCAGGAAAGTCACCTGGGTGATTAGTGGAAAATCTTAAATAAAAATCCATATCTCCTCACTCCTTATTCCTATCCCAGGACTTTTTGCTATATGCCATGACTAGAACTTATTGAATATTCATCTATTCATGGGATAGGAGTTAGATGGTGTTTGGGAACCTCCGCCTAGTCTCTTTGCTAAAACATAACAAGAGTCACCTTTACTCCAGTTCCCAATAAGTTCCTCATCTTCATCTGAGACCACCTCAGCCTGGACCTTTTTGTCCATATCATTATCAGCATTTTGGGCAAAGCCATTCGATAAGTCTCTAGGAAGTTCCAAACTTTCCCACATTTTCCTGTCTTATTCTGAGCCATCCAAACCGTTCCAACCTCTGCCTGTTACCCAGTTCCAAAGTCATTTTCACATTTTGAGGTATCTTTTCAGCAACATCCCACTTCCGGTTCCAATTTACTGTATTAGTCTGTTTTCACACTGCTGATAAAGTCATACCCGAGACTGGGAAGAAAATGACGTTTAATTGGAATTACAGTTCCAGATGGCTGGGGAGGACTCAGAATCATGGCGGGAGGCAAAAGGCACTTCTTACATGGCAGTGGCAAGAGACAATGAGGAAGAAGCAGGAGAAAATGAGGAAGAAGAAAAGCAGGAACCCCTGATAAACCCATCAGGTCTCATGAGACTTATTCACTATCATGAGAATAGCAGGGGAAAGACTGGTCCCCATGACTCAATTACCTTCCCCTGGGTCCCTCCCACAACACGTGGGAATATGGGAGATACAATTCAAGTTGAGATTTGGGTGGGGGTACAGTCAAACCATATCAGATGGATAGAGAGAAAGAGAGAGACAAAGACAGAGACAGAGATGGGGGACAGGGGTATCTTCAGCTCCCCTAGGTAATTCAAAGTGATAGACAATCCATACCTTCATTTGACATGGCAAAATATAAACATATTCAATGAAGATAACATTTACTTTGTTAGCATTTCCCAAACATTCACCACCCACTTGGCTTGCAGAGGTGTTAAGAGATAAGGATATTTTGGCCGGGCGCGGTGGCTCACGCCTGTAATCCCAGCACTTTGGGAGGCCGAGGCGGGCGGATCACAAGGTCAGGAGATCGAGACCACGGTGAAACCCCGTCTCTACTAAAAAAAAATACAAAAAATTAGCCGGGCGCGGTTGTGGGCGCCTGTAGTCCCAGCTACTCGGGAGGCTGAGGCAGGAGAATGGCGTGAACCCGGGAGGCGGAGCTTGCAGTGAGCCGAGATCGCGCCACTGCACTCCAGCCTGGGCGACAGAGCGAGACTCCGTCTCAAAAAAAAAAAAAAAAAGAAAAAAAAAAGAAAAAAAAAGAGATAAGGATATTTTGGCAGCAGGTTTTTAACTTCCCAGAACAGCCGTATTGTGCAAGGTCAAGGTTGGGTCTGCATTGCTGATATAGTTTTATTTGGTAACAGAAGGAAGAAAACTCAGAGTTTTTCTTTAGGTCTAAATTTTATATCCCTTGTATCTTTCTCCAGTCTGTTCCCCACAATGCCACGCCATAATTATCACAAAGTGGCGCCTCTGGTGAGGTCACTGTGTGCCAAGCATGGATTGCAGTATGTGAATAAACCCATGTTGAGGGCGTTTGGAGATATTGTCAGGTAATAACATAATTTCTCTTGGCTCACAGCTCTCATTTGTCTTTACTGCCACTCCCCAGACTATTCAGTGGCTTATGAATCATTCATTTAACAATCATTTATTAAGGGTCACCTGTGTGCTCAGTGTGGATACGCGGCACCATAGGGAACCGTATCAACAACAACAAAATAATGATAATGCTGACCTTTTATCTATAGGTACAGCTTAGTGAAAATGCTTTACTGTCCTACTAAATTTCAAATTTCTTAAAATCAAGGCTGTATATTATTTGCCTTTCTATCCCCCACAGAGCTTCCTACATGTGTTAGAATTTAAGTAGTGGGAGGAACTGTCAGATCATCTGGTCCAGTGTTGCAAATTTAGAAGCCTGCAGGGTCCAGTGGGGTATAAATGTGCAGCTCAGGCTGGGGTGATTAATTAAGAGTAGTGAGGCATGCAGAAACTGAAAATCCATACTTATCCTTAGGCATTCACATACAATTTCCTAAAGAATGTTGTGCTGGTTAAATTAACAACCAGTAATCTGGGTTTAATAACTTTCTCTTTAGTTTAGGATTGAAAAAAAAAAAAAAACAAACATCTCAAATGAGGCCAACAAGGCCAGGCCTGATCTGATCTGATCCCTGACCAGTGCTCCAGCTTCAGACTCTCCACCACACTCCTCTTTCTCTGTCCCCCAGATAATTTCCTCCAGAAATTAGTGCAATTGGCCTACCTTAAGTTGCCGTGAAACTCCCTTCCCTAGTTGTCTTATCCTTTTGCCACTTTTTCTTCTGCCTGGAATGTTCCCCCAAACCTCCACCTCCCTTGACATCATCTTGTCAATTGCCATTCTTTCTCCAAGGCTCAATTCAAATGCCTTTTCCTCATGTCCATCTCCTCTGACCCCAAAACTAAATTAGTCGCCTGCTCTTGCAGCACCTGGTTCTCTTCATTTGTGAAGTTTATCACAATTGTATTCAAATAACATATTGGGTAATAAATTATTTAATATGTATCTCCCAAGCTAGACCAGGAATTTCATGTGGACAGGACTCACATCTACCCTACTCATTGCTGTACCACCAGAGCCTAGAAAAATGTCCTCCATATTATAAAATAGGGTTGATAGATAAATATAGGATGGGTGGATTTACAGGTATATAGGCTCAGAAAAGAATAAAATGAAAGAAAATCTCAATGTTCTCCATAAAGGAAAGGTGAATTCACCTGCTAAAAACAATTCAGTCAACAGAATTGGTCAACAGAGGATGACATTTATCAGATGTAGCTGAAAATGACAACATTGTTCTGAACCAGGCAGAGGAGCAAATTCCATTTAAGAGCTTTCTTAACATTACAGTCTCACCTCCTGATGATCTTGTTTATTCCTTCCACAGAGCCTTGAAGAAATCTGCAGCCCTCTGGGTGGATGCTTACTATGAAACATGATGCCAAATGTAGCCTTGATACACATGTAATTGCATCTCTGATGAGGGTTGGTGCATGTGTAGGAGCTCTTCCCTGCTTAACTGGGAATTAGTTATCACCATTGGTATACCTGACTGTGCTGTTCTAGGAATATGAATCCCAAGCACATGTGATAACCCCTTCCCTAAAAGTCTTCTTTGCAAGTAACAACCTAGGAAACACAAGATGACATTGACCAGGGTTATAAAAGGGAAACAGAGCCCAAAATTTTTGTTTTTTCACTAGAACCTTAAACTCAGTCCTCCCAATAGACCTTAGTCAGATCATCTCAGTCAAGGGTCAGAAGTACAAGAACCAGGCAAAAGTTTTATGGATGAAGTGGACAAAGGGAGAAGTTGGCCAAGAGAGCCATCTAACAGGGTACTTTGGAAATTAGTGCAATTGCTCTTAGAAAAGAATCATATGTGTAAGAAGTTCCTCTTGAAGCACAAATGTTTTTTACTTATTTCTTTTCATATGTGTGAACTTCTTTTTCTTTAAAAACTGAATATAATTAACATTAAAATTTCTTCAAATATTTCAATATTGACTTCAGATCTTCATTATTGTAACTGCATATGTGTCATTAATGTATATATACATTTTCTTTCCAAGTAGACAAATTAAAATATCTATGAAATATCTTAAAAGAACTTCCTACATCTAGTCCTAATAGCAACAGATCAAGCAGGTTAATGTTCTGTATTTAAAGACGTGTTGTGTTTCACTAAAGAATAGACTGTGTTTTAAGTATAAGATTTTGTTGCCTACTCCCTACCCACCATGCAAAACTACTGTACTTTGTAATTGAGTTACCCGGATGAAAGAAAGAGTTCTGTTTTCTCTAAAGGAAACTCCAGGCATTGATAAGGCAGTTTTCAAGTTTGACACCAAAGTAAGCATGTCTTAGAACAAGAGGGCTTTCTCTCTCACAAGAGAGGGTTTTAGTGCTAGAAGGATAAGTGGACACTCTTAGTAACATGCTGATCTGTAGTGTCTAAACTTTTATTAAAGGTTACCTTAGCTGCAGAAAGCACAATAATGCAAGCTTGCTTCCCCAGCTCCAAGCAAGTCGGTGCTACTGGATTAGCTGTTGCCTGAAATTCTACCAGTATATATTCATTCCCTTACTCCAAGCTCTGCAAAATACTCTTTTAGCTTTGTTTGTTTCTCAATTAAATCCCTACTAGAAAATAACACATTAAATCACTCATAGCTCCTGGGGACTTAGCCACACATGTCAAAGTTAGGAAAACAAAAACTGGTTGTCTGGGAGGAAGAGGCATTATTAAAATGATAATGGCTAATATCAAATAGGAAAGTTGGGGAGGAGACGAAAAGAATAAAAAGCTATTTTGACTTCATGGCTCTTCATAATAGACAGGCAAGTGCCCATATTCCTCCTGCTGGTGGATTTCAGATGATTTCTCCTGCCTCAGTTCAGGGTTACAAGTGGGAGTGGGCTCAGTGGTTGGCTTTTTCCTGTCTCCCCTGGTCCAAACCAGAGACTCTTAAGCACTGCTTGTTCTCCTGATTACTTAGAAATAGCAACTCGACTCTCCTTGGGCAAATTTACTATCTCAAACGTGTTCCCCACTCAGTGTTAAAAATAGCCCACTTTGTAAATCTCCAAACATACTTGATTACTGTGTATTTTGAAGAAAGTTGGGATATTTAGACAGATTATATAAGGAAACATGAAATCAAAAAAGGTGCTTGGGTCAGACTCACATTTGTAATCTCAACATTTGGGAGGCCAAGGCAGGAGGATCTCTTGAGTCCAGATGTTCAATACCAACTTGGGCAACATAGAGATTTTTTTGAGCAACTAGAGTTTTTTTTTTTTTAAAAGAGATTCTGTCTCTCAAATAAATAAATAAATAAATAAAATTCAAAATTCAAAAAAGGTGCTAGACTATCCTATTCTGGGCTCTTCTTTGCTGGGAGGTTTTTGATTACTGCTTTACTGTAATCATTATTGACCTGTTCAGGTTTTCTTTCTTCATGATTCAGTCTTGGTAGGTTGTATGTTTCTAGGAATTTATCCATATATTCTAGGTTACTCAATTCGTTTGTGCATAGTTGTTCACAGTAGGCTCTTATGATCCTTTGTATTTCTATGGTTTACAAAAATGTACAAACTCAACCATGTGTTGTTTAAGGATTCATAAATATGTAGTAACGTGATAAAGAGAAGAAAGAGAATAGTAAACACCAAAAGGAGGATCACAGTAGGGGAAAGGTGCTAGGTAAGAATGAAAATGTATCAGTAAGGTAAATTTTAATTTGCTTAGTAGGTTGTTAGTTAATTAAAATCATCATTTTTCTGAATTCACTATCTCAACTGTTGTCTCTCTCTCACCCTGTGGTGACTGGCATTTACACTTGGTGAAGCATTAGCCATATTTTTATTGTTTATTCAATACACTTTCCAGAGGAGGAGAACCAAAGCCTACTGCTTTCACAGCTTTGAATACCACTGAGCACTGAGTTAATTCAGATGACTGATCCTGCAGGTCATTTTATTTCTAACCTTCAGGCTATAGGGCTCCACTTTATGGGCATAGGAATGAAAGTGGCTTCATCAACCAGGCTCATGTCTCTTTCCACTAAGTGACTCCTGGCAGTTATGTTATAGCCCTATCTGAAACTCTTCAATGGATTCCTATGACTCTTGGAATAAAGTCCAAACCCCAAGACTGCCCCATGGCCACTACCCACCTTGTACCACTCTGGCTCTTGCTATCTCTGTTTCAGCCCACTGGCTCTCTTCAGGTCTTCACACTCTTTTCTGCCACAGGCTCTTTGCTCCTGATCCCAATGGCTGAACCATTTTGTCAACTCTCTTGCTCTCACTCCATCTCACTTGGTCAATCTGCCACTCACTTTCAGATCTCAGCACTATTATCACGTCTCAGTATAGCTATACCCACTATCCCAGAGTGCTTCCTCACTAAGTCAAGGCTTCCTGTGATATACTCTGTAGCAATTACAGTGGATATAATTTTACATTAATTTATGTGGTGTGTTAATTTGTTTGTCTCCCTTTCTAGCCTGCAATATCCATGAAGCAAGGATTTCTTGACATGTTAGAGACACTCAGTAAAGATATGCTAAATGGAGAAAGAAATGAATGGATGGATGGATGCTAATTCTAAGAGGCTACAGAAAAAAATGTCCTCCTTGGCCTCTCTCATGGAAATCTATCCTTTTGTTTAACAGCTCACCAAAAGAAACTTCTCCTGCTCCTTCATTTTTATGTCTGTACCTTAAGCTTATACTGTTTACCTAGAAAACCATTTAACGTTTTCTTATTGCAAGAATTTTCTGATTCCAAAAATATGTTTATGTAATTTCTTCCAATTAGATAGATAAATTTAATTAAATATATGAGAATAATTCCATATTCTAATTTTGATTTTTTTTTAATTTTATCATGGTAAAAACACTTATTATGACATCTATCCTATTAACATTTTTAAGTGTAAAATACAATATTGTTTTCTATAGGCACAATATTGCGAAGTCGATCTCTAGAAATTATTCCTCTTGCATAACTGAAATTTTATACCTGTTGATTGGCACTTCCCATTTCCCCTTCCTCCAGTCCCTAGCAACCACCATTCTATTTTTTCTTTCTGTGAGTTTGACTATTTTAGATACCTCATGTAAAGAGAGTCATACAGCCTTTAAGGTTAATTTATATTGTTGCTATTATAAGATTTCCTTTTTTCTTAAAGCTGAATAATATCCCATTGTATGTATATACCACATCTTTAATTCATTTACCCATTGATGGACGTTTAGATTCTCTCCTCACTGTGCCTATCGTGAATGATGTTGCAATGAACATGAGAATGCTAATATATCTCTGAGATTCTGATTTCAATTTTTTTGATAAATATCCAGAAGTAGGATTGCTAGATAAAATTCTCACCAATATTTATAAGGATCTACCATCAATAAGCACTGATATATACCCTTCATGGGCATTATTCCATTTAATCTTCAAAACAGGCCCATTGGGCATAGGTACTGTAATTAACTTCATTTTTTTAGATATAAAACCTGAGGCTTAAGGAAGCCAAGCAATTTGCCTGAAGTTGCAGGTAGAAACTGGTAGAGTAGAGTTTCAGACCCAGGAATATCTGACTCCACAGTCAATGCTCTTTAATTCCCATGCCAGGAAATCCAAAGTAAAAGACAAGAAAGTGGCATATATTCAAGCCAGGGAAAATTCATCTTCTTTACAGCTATCACAAGGAAGTGGCATAAATTCAAGCCAGGAAAAATTCATCTTCTTTATAGCTATCTTCATATGACTTTCCCTGATCCTGTTTTCTCTAAAACTTTACTCTTCTTGACAGAATTAGGTAGTGAGAATTTGCCGGCATTTTTAGTTGGACATCAAGTAAGAGTGCCTGGATTCGAAGTCAGAAGTCTAGACTCTAATTTCAGTTTATTAACTTAGTATCCTACAGTGAACTTGGCCATGTCACTTACACGCTCTGTACCTCAATCCCCACATTTGTATAGGTGTGATGCACAATATTTCCTGGCGTATGTGCATCATAGGATGATTGTGACAATTATGTGAAGTAAGACAAATGGAATGGTTTTATAAGCTGGCAACACCCATTCACATTATAGTTACTGATGTTCTATAATGAGAGTTCTTCCCATCCTAAATCCACAAAAAGCATGAAAGGCCACAGAGTCACCGAGACCTATGGGATGGAAAGACACTGAATCATTTTAACAATGACAGAGTACCTTTCCCCAGAGGCTTATGAGAGGCGTATGAGTCACAAATGAAAAAATGATTTCTCCTGTTGCAACAAGTAACATCCATGAGTCATCTTGCACCTTTGACTGTAATTAATCCCCTGGTACCCGCCTGCAGATCTCAGAGGCTGTGGGGCAGGTAGTAGAAAGCCGAGATTCTGGTTATCCAAACTTCTGATTAACCATGTGAGTGCACAATTCTTATTGTTGGCAATCTTACCAATGGTGTATAATATAATATTTGTTGCCTAGTCGGTGTAAATAAAGGATGATCTTGTCTGCTTTGTTGCTAGTCAGAGACACTTCTGGTACAATCCTAAAAGTGCACAATGCATAGGAAATTAAACTCGAGCTCTATTGAAGGCAGAGATATACTCGGTTATGTTTTCTTTCCCAGAACTGTTTATGAAAGTTTGAGGCCGGGCGCGGTGGTTCACGCTTGTAATCCCAGCACTTTGGGAGGCTGAGATGGGCGGATCACAAGGTCAGGAGATCGAGACCATCCTGGCTAACACAGTGAAACCCCATCTCTACTAAAAATACAAAAAAATTAGCCAGGCGTGGTAGCGGGCACCTGTAGTCCCAGCTACTCGGGAGGCTTTGGCAGAAGAATGGTGTGAACCCAGGAGGCAGAGCTTGTAGTGAGCCAAGATCGCACCACTGCACTCCAGCCTGGGTGACAGAGCAAAGACTCCGTCTCAAAAAAAAAAAAAAAGAAAGTTTGAAAATACAGCAATGTTGAAATAATTTTATAGTGAATATCTATATGGCCATCACGTGATTTCAACATTACTATTTCATTAAATTTCCTCCATCCCATGTCTATTCATCTATTCATCTCTCAATATATCCACTAATCCATTTTATTTTGTATGTACTTCAAGTAAATGTCCTGAGAGTGCTTTTAAAACTGAACGTCAAATAATTTAGACAACAAAGTATCTTTTTCCTCTTCAATAAAGAATTGGTACAAATTCAGAAAACTAACAAGGAAATTCTAGACTTAGACTTGACACTTGACCAACCGGACCTCATAGACATCTACAGAATACGCCATTCAACAACCACAGCATCACGCAATACACCTTTATAACAAACCTGTACATGTGCCCCAGAATCTAAAATAAACGTTGAAAAACAAATTGGGAAAAATTGTGTAGCAGTCACATCTCTAAGAAAACATAATGTAGTTATCATTTCTGAAAAATCAATTATTAACTCCCCACAGATTAAACCTTCTCATATAGAGATATCATATATAGATATATGTAGATACCTATATTCTCATATATATCTACTTACCTCTCATATCAGAGAGAGATCTAGAGAGAAATATCTATGTAGCTATCTAGAGAGATAGGTAAGTAGATAAATAGATGTCTATATATAAAAATATAGAGAGAGAGGTGTAACAGAGATATATATGAGATATATATAGATATCTTCATGATCCTTCATATATATCTTTATTATTCTCTTTCATTTGTAACATTAATTGAGCACTTACCATATATCAGGCATTGACCTAGGTGATATGAATGAAGAGTCAGAAGCCACACCTCTAGGAGTTTATAGTCTAGTGCAGAAGGCAGTCAATAAGCAAGTAAATGGAAGAAAAACCAAGATGATTACATTTGAAGAAAATAAATAGGATGATGTGAGAGAGAATGATAAGCAGGGGACTAGATTAGTTCTGGAGGTCAGGGAGAGGGGAATCTGAGAATATTGAAGGAGACTGCCATGACATCCTGAGAAGCAGAATCATCAAAGGCAAGTGCAAAGGCCCTGAGGCAGGAACAAATTTGTGTTCAGACAGCAGAGTAGGAGGCCTGCGTGACTGTAGAACCGTTTGCAAGGTGGTTTCCTCACTATTACTTAAATTTCATTCCTCCATAAGTATGGTTGGCCTTGGCTTTTTGACAGCATTTGAAATAATCTTCTATTACTTATACAAGCATTGTTTTCTCTGGACACTCATCCCAGATTTAAATTACCAATTAATATTCCCTTTATA